AGAAAGTTGTACATTTCTTCTAAGTTATCCAGTTTGTTAGCATGTAATTTTTCATAGTATTCTCTAATAATTTTTTGAATTTCTGCGGTGTCCATAGTGATTTTTCTTCTCTAACTTCTGAATCTGTTTATGTGTGTAGACTTTTTTTTTTCTTGGTAAGTCTGGCTAAGGGTTTATCTAAAACCAGCTCCTGATTTCATTGATTCTTACTGTTGTTTAATTATTCTCTCTTTTATTTACTTCTGCTGTGATCTTGATCATGTCGTCCCTCTTTCTGCTGCCTTTGGGCCTCATTGTTTCTTCTTTTTCTAGTTTCATTAATTTGAGTTTAGAGTGTTCATTTGCAGTTCTTTTTTGAGTTTATTTTTATTGCTATATAGTTTTCTCTTAGAAGTGTGTTTGCTGTATCCTCTTAAGTTTTGTGCTGTTGAGTTGTTGTTTTCGTTTGCCTCCATATATTGCTTCATCTGTGTTTTTATTTGGTCATTGATCCATTGATTATTTAGGCGCATGGTTTTTTAAGCCTCCATGTGTTTGTGGGCTTTTTTGTTTTCTTTGCACAATTTATTTCTGGTTCTATAACTTTGTGGTCTGAGAAGTTGGTTGATACAATTTCAATCCTGGATTACTGAGGCTCTTTTTGTGGCCTAGTATGTGATCTCTTCTTGAAAATGTTCCATGTGCACTTGAGAGGACTGTGTATCCTGTTGCTTTTGGGTGGAGTGTTTGTAGATGACTGTTAGGTCCATGTTTTCTAATGTGTTGTTCAGTGCCTCTGTCTCCTTACTTTCTGTCTGGTTGGTCTGTCCTTTTAGAGTTGTGTGTTGAAGTCTCAAAAAATGAATGCATTGCAGTCTACTTCCCTCTTTAATTCTGTTAGTATTTGTTTCACTTATGTAGGTAGTCCTGTGTTGATTGCATAGATATTTACAATGGTTATGCCTTCTTGGTGGATTGGCCCCTTTATCATTATGTAATGTCCTTCTTTGTCTCTTCTGACTTTCTTTGTTTTGAAGTCTATTTTGTCTGATACAATCACTGGAACTCCTGAATTTTCTCTCTATTACTTGCATGAAATGTCTTTTTCCATCCCTTCACTTTTAGTCTGTGTATGTCTTTGGGTTTGAAGTGAGTCTCTTGTAAGCAGCATATAGACGGGTCTTGTTTTTTTTTTTATCCATTTAGTGACTCTGTGTCTTTTGGTTGGTCCATTCATTCCTTTCACATTTAGGATGATTATTGATAGGTATATACTTATTGCCATTGCAGGCTTTATATTCGTGGTTTCCAAAGGTTGAAGGGTATCTTCTTTACTGTGGAACAGTCTAACTTAACTCACTTAGTATGCTATTTGAAACACAATCCAAGGGTTCTTTATTTTTTCTCCCTTCTTTTTCTTCCTCCTCCACTCAGTATTGTGTTAGATATCATATTCTGTACTCTTTGTGTATCCCTTGAGTGACTTTGTGGGTTGTTGATTTAATTTTGCTTTTGCTTAGTAATTAATTCGCCTACTTCCTTTGCTTTGGTTTTATTTTCTCTGCTGACGGCTATGTAACCTTAGTATTGTTTTCATCTATTGCAGTCCCTCCAGAATACACTGTATAGATGGTTTGTGGGTGGTAAGTTGCCTTAACTTTTACTTATCTGGAAATTGTTTAAACCCTGCTTCTAATTTAAAGGATAATTTTGCTGGGTAGAGTATTCTTGGTTGGAGCCCCTTCTGTTTCATTAAATACATCAGACCACTCCCTTCTCGCCTATAAGGTTTCTGCTGAGAAGTCTGATGGTAGCCTGATGGGTTTTCCTTTTTATGTGATCTTTTTTTCTCTCTCTGGGTGCTTTTAATACTGTGTCTTTTTCCTTGATCTTTGCCATTTTAATTATTATATGTCTTGGTGTTGTCTTCCTTGGGTCCCTTATGTTGGGAGGTCTGTGTACTTTCTTGGCCTGAGAGACTTTTTCTTCCCCAGATTGGGGAAGTTTTCAGCAGTTATTTCCTTGAGGATACTTTCTATCCCGTTTTCTCTCTCTTCTTGTGGTACCCCTATAGTATGAACATTGTTCCGTTTGGATTGTTCACACATTTTCTTAATACTCTTTCCATCCTAGATATCCTTTTTTTTCTCTGTACCTTTGCTTCTTTATATTCCTGTTCTGATTTCTATTCCATTTACTGTCTCCTCTACCTTTTCTAATCTGCTTTTCAATCCCTCCATTGTATGTTTCATTTCAGATACTGTATTTTTCAGAGTTTCTGTCTCTTGAAGTTTCCCCTTAGATATTGAATATTTTTCTATAGCTCCAAGAGAATGTTTATGATTTTTATTTTGAAATCTATATGGAGAAGATTGGTTATTTCAGTTTCACTTCCTCCTTTTTCTGGTATTTCAGGGATTTTAGTTTGTACTGGGTTCATTTGCTGTTTCATACTTGTAATGATTACTATGGAATAGTAACTTTGTTTAGGCAGCTCCCTTTAGTGCCCAGAAGCTCTCCTCTCTGGATCTGTCCAGCACCTAGAGTGATGGTGGGGGTCCCAGGGAAGCGGCGTTGGTGCGTCCTGGGAGGAAAGATCTCTTTCCTGTTTCTTGGCCTTAGTGCTTGCCTCCATTGCCTGAGTCAGTGGGCTGAGTGTGCAGGGCACAGTCTCTGCTTTATGCCCCTGGAGCTGCCACATGTGGAGCTGCCTGCTGGCTGGCCTGGTGCAATGGGAGGGTCAGTAGATTTGCTAGCTTGTGCCTTTGGGGTGGAAGGAGCAGCAGGCTGCATATCGCAGTTCTGTTCCTTGTGATGCATTGCCTGCAATGGGGATAAAGTGGCTGAAGCTCCTGAAATTCCCAACCTGCTTGGCTTAAGGTGCTGGGATAATTTTGTCCACCTGTTCTTTCTCCTGAGCACCAAGCTCTGCAATTCCTTGCCCCTTTAGCAGCTTCCTTGTCACTTTTGGGAAGTCTTTCAAAGTGCTCGCCTTTTTTTATTCTGGAGTGGCGGGTTTTGTTTATCTTTTTCTCATAAGTGGCTGGAATGTCAGTCTCTCTGAGTATTCCACCTTTCTTTGCTTTGCAACCCCAGACCATCACATAATGTGAGTTCAAGCTCCCAGAGTATATCTCCAGAGGTGGTTACTTAGCAGTCCTGGCCTTCTACTCCCTTTCCACTCCATTTCTCTTTCTCCTGCTGGTGAGCTGAGGGTTGGGGGAGGGCTTGGGTCAGGCCAGATCATGGCTTTGCTACTTTACCCTTTTCCATGAGGTTTTCTGTTTTCCCCAGATGTAAGCTGTCTGTTGCAGTCATCTTTCTGTTCACACTTTCATTATTAGTTGTATTTGCTGTATTTTCGTGTTATGTGTGGTTTGGGGAGGAGATTTCTGAGATTTCTGCCTCACTTCTCATGCTGCCATCTACCCCCACACCCTCCTGCTCCCTGACTTTACATCTTTTTTTTTTTTATATTTCTCAGTATTTTATATACATGTTTTGTTCTTTTTTGGGGTAGATGAAAACACTCAGTTGTGAGAATCATTGCTATATCACTGAGTGTTCACAAGTACAATAGCTTTTTCTTCTCCCACTTATTTGTTAAAAAAACATTTAGTAAGTCAAAAATTGAATGAGGTTTGTGTGGTTTTGGGAGTATGAAAATCAAGAGGTTTTTGAAAAGCTTCACTATAAGGTAAAAGAAAAATATGTAAATTTAAAAGTTTTTAGTGAGTATGATGACATTGGTATGTGTCTTAAAATTGTTTACCAAAAATTTTATTAGTAGAAATTTAAATGAATATATTCTCAGAAAGAACTTTTCTTGAAGTGAATTTAAAATGTTAAATGATCACATGTATCTTTCCATATAGAAAATAAAAGTTTTAAATAGCATTCTGTCACTTAGTATGTATTTTGAACCATGTATCTACCTATATTCATTAACTCATTCTTATAGTGGCCAAAATCAGGGTGTACATGGTAGATACTTGATAGTTTTTAAAAAATAAATGAATACTTTATTTCTCAAAAAGAAGTGTTTCATTCAATTCCATACTTACTCAGTGTTATTCAGTGATTATGTATTTAGTTCAGTAATTACCCACTTCCTTGGCACTGACTTGATACTAGAGATCTGTAGTGAAGGACAGAGAATAGTTCATGTGTTTACTGAGTGTTTGATGCAACATTCCGTAGAAAGGTGGCATTAAAAAAATAAATAGCATGTGAGGAAGTTTTTGAAAATGTAAGGGACTGTGAGAAGATATAATAAAGGCATTTGAAGACTTATTATTTAAAGATGATTTTGTGTACAATGTTAACATTTGACTTTTGGGAACTGAAATATAAGGACTACTCAAAAAAAGTAATATTTTTAATCTGGTAGTTCAGAACTATTTGAACTGACTCATATGATGTGTATTCTTTGAAAAGTTATATATTTTCACATACACTCCTTTTGCTGATTCATTACCATGTTTATATTATTTTTAAGGAACTATTTATATCTAATATCAATATAAACGTCTTTATATAAATTTAGGCTTCCCTTCTCAACTTAATCATTGCCTCTTGTAAAATATTTTTTTTGTATCCCAGTATCTAGTTCAGGACCTTGTATATGGGTAGGCACTTACAAATTATATGTTGAATGAATATTTGTGGAGTTCAACTCTCTTAAATGCTTTGGATAGCTAAAACTCTTCAAAACCACTCAAAATAAAACTTGGCATCAGAACATTTTCAAGTATTGCTAGCTCAGTAAATTACTTTTGAGATCCTTGCTTCAGTGATTGTGAAAGGGAGAAAAGAGGAAACTTGTTATTTTGGTAAGTATGTGCTTAGTTTGCATGCCTGAAGAAAGATAACAGGTCTGATGAATTTGGCTTTGTCCAAGTAATTCACCAGCCCTGATTTTTATATTTAGGTGTGTCTAAAATTACTGTATTTCTGAGTGGTTTATGTTACTTTTCAGTAGGTATATCTTGATCTTCCCCCCTTTTCCCTTAAATAAGCAGGATTGCTTCACAGTGGAGGGGGAAGATTTGAGGCATGACTTTGAGCGCTTACAACTGGCCATGGAAATGGTAGGATTTCTTCCCAAAACACGAAGACAGTAAGTTTATTTACTGTAGTCTTATTCTTTGGTAGAGAACAAATCATTTGTGTTTTGAAAATTTTTCTTCCTTAGTCCTTTGAAATAATTTTCTGACTGATGTTCCTGATCTAGTGCCTCCATCTTACGCATTGTTTAGAACTGTATTTTTCTAAAAGTCTTGTTTTGAATTGTTTTTTTGTCATCAATTCTCTGAGAATCTGTTGAAAGCTGGAGCTCTTCTTCCTGTAAAATGTACATCCATAAACGTGCATATAATTGCAAGAGTTCATGGTGACCCTAAAACCTCTCTATGGATCGTTCTTAAATACTGTTCCTTTATAACAGTTTTTATAATTTCTTGTTTTCTATGTCATTGATCTCTTTATTTTATTAAGATATGCATACCTGGTAGTAAAACATAATTTTCTATGTATTTCTTCTGTAAATTTATGTCTGTACTATGTACTTTGGTCATTGTAAATTTAAACAAAATGGAAATGTAAGAAAAAGATTGAGATAGAAATAAAGTAAGTCATATTTAAAATAAAGCAAATTATTTAAAATTTAAAGTCGCAGAAAACCTTGACTCTCACCAGAAAAAAATAGTAACTTCCCACTTTTTTTTAAGGAGAGAATTAGATTCAATAAATATATCAGATCTGATTATACTGTCAACTTGTAATCTCTCACTAGGAGTAGAGGAATATCAGTCCTGCCTTTTTTTTTTTTGTTTGCTGTGATTACATCATTGGTATCAATCTTTGTTTACCAGATTATTTGCCAGAATCCTTTTATGAAAGTAAAAGCCAAATAATATACTTTGTAAATTTGCAAAACCATTTTATTGGGGACATAAATTACAATTCACTGAAAGTTACTTTAAATAAATGAGAATATTCCTGTCAATGCCTTCATGCTGTGGTAACATCCTTCACTCAGGATACATCATTGATTGACACCTGACTGATTGACATATGGACTGAAGTGTCAATTTATATGTTAAGTAATAGTGAAACTTCTTTTTTTTTTTGTAGATAACTCGATTTGGAAATAACAGTATTTACTTCTTATACACCAAAGTATTGTCTTTTATATTTTCTGATGTGACTATCCCATATCCACTGGAAATAGTATGTTCTTAGTAGCCTGACCTTCAATTTGGCCCTCCTGTATTGCTCAGATATTTTAAAATATTTCCTAACACAAGTTTTGCATTTTAACTAGACTGATGGTGTTCTCTAAAACATTATACTGTATTTTGCATTTTCACTATTTCATCCATTCCATCATCATATCTTTTCCACTTGCACACAGAGTTTCAATTGTGTAGATAGAGAGCATATCACATGCACTGCTTTTCCCCTCCCCTGTATCATGATTGATTCTGTTATCAAATCATAGCATTTTTTCCTACTGCACTCTGATCTACCCCACAATCCCTCTTAAGACAACCTTGCAGGCAGGCTAAAATTTGGCATGTGAATTGAAATGTTTGTTTTAGAGTACTTTCATGTCCTGCTTTTTTTTTAACTTTTAAATATTCTAAGTTATTTTTTTAGTTTGCCTTAAGGTGTCATTGATATACAATCTTATGAAGGCTTTCCATGAACAACATTGTGGTTACTATGTTCCACCCGTATTATCAAGTCCCCTCTCACACCGCATTGTAGTCGCTGTCCATCAGCACAGTAAGATGCTATAGAGTCACTGCTTTTCTTCTCTGTGCTATACTGCCTTCCCCGTGATTCCCCTACTTTATTTGTGTTAATCATAATGCCCCTTAATCCTTCTCCCTGCCTTCTCACCCACCCTCCCCAGCCCCTTCCCTTTGGTAACTGCTAGTTTCTTCTTGGAGTGTTTGAGTCTACTGCTGTTTTGCTCCTGTTCATGTCCTGCTTTTTTAATAAAATTTTTCTTAACTGTTTCTGCCTTCTGTATTTTTAGATGTCTTGCTCTGTAGTATAGTTATTTATTTATATCTCCTAGTGCAAGATTATAAGCTTTTTGAGAACAGAGATTCTTATTCATATTTATAAATCTTTTTTTGTTGAATTGTAGCAAATTATTTTTATGGCATTTATTGCTGAGACTATGCATCATGTATTTCTGTGTGAGAAAACATTGATATTCTGAGTATTGAACCCCAGATTCTGAAACAATGTAATTAGCAACCATATGAACTACTACTAAATATGGTTTTTAAAAAATGGCCTGTGAATTTGTGTATCTCATCTCTTTTGGTTTCCATTAGTTTTCATAATGTTTTAGTTGATACTGAGTTTCTTTTCTAATCTAACTGAGAATACTTCTATGAATTATTCCTTTATAACTGTCTTGTATTTTGTTAATAATTCAAACATTAAAAATTTTTAATTTATTTGAGAAATTAGACTTGCAAGTCAGATGTTGATTCATGACCTCTGAAAGTACAGGTATTAGGTTCCTAAAGCAATGTCTTTGTTTTACTTAGAATACTTCCTAATTTTAGGAAAACACATGGTTCAAATTTATAAGTAGAATAGGTTTGTCCTAAGTGAATAAGTAGACAAGGCACAAAGATATATATATATTATATATATGTATTTCCAGGAAAGGCTCTTAGATGAATTGTTAAGCTGTGTTAAATGCCTTTGAGATGTCAGGTAAGTTAAGGACGTAATATACTTTCCTTAGTTACATGGAGTCCTTGGTAACCTCTATGAGACATTTTAGTCGGGGGCAGGCCCCAGATTGAGATAGTAAATGGGGAATGATAAAGTAAAGACAAGCCGTGTAAGTTAACATTTCAATATGCTTGTTTGTGAAGGGAACAAGATGTGGGATGTAGGATAGGTTGTTTAAGAGAAAAGCAGACGTGAGATTATTTTGATGGAAAGTTCTTATAGGTTCAGGTGAGAGATAGGAAATAGGTATAATAATATTTCTGAGTAAACTGGAGTTCATGGAATATAGAGCACAAGTGGAGGGTTTAGTTGTTTTGTTCCTTTCAAACAAGAGGAAAGGACAGAAGGGAGGATTTAGATGTAGATGTTCCACACCAGGACACTGATATATAATATACCGCAGTGGTCTCATACTGTTTTTTAAAAAGCATTTGTTAGTGGCACCACAGTATGATGTAGGAAATCATTCCTTAGGTATAACTACTAATAAACAATCAGTCAAGCTACTTGGTTAAAAAATGCAGATTTCAAAGGCTTTTTCTTTAATGATTGAAATAATTTAGAGATCTGAAATACGGAAAGGGCATTTAGTAAGGATGAAAAGCATTTAGAATGGCATGGACTTTAAAACAATGAAGCAGATTCAGACCATAGCAAGACGTTCCCTTCAAACAACTCTGACAAGTGATGCAAAATGGAAAAGCAAGGTTATGTGAAGCACTTTGCACAGTGCTTGACATAGTAAACACTCAATAAATTTTACAGTTAAAATTGTTACTCCCATATTTATTTTTCTGAAGACTAAATACTTCATATCTGTACCAGCTAATTTGTTTGATTTGAATTTTGAAATGAAATAAAAGAATATACACAAACAATCTGTAATTTGTAGTTTTATTTTTGCAGGATTTTCTCTCTTCTCTCAGCAATACTACACTTGGGTAATATCTGTTATAAAAAGAAGACATACCGGGATGACTCCATAGATATCTGTAATCTTGAAGTTCTGCCAATTGTCTCAGAATTATTAGAAGTGAGTGATTACATTCTCAGTTGTCATTTCAAATGCTGGTAGCTTCTCAGTTTTTATTTTGCAGGACTGTTTTGTAGGTGTAAATGAGTTAATGCTTTTTACTAACATTGTTTCTCCAAAGGATGGAATTTTTGGGAGTGTGCTGGAATCTTTAGGTTTGAGATTTCTCCCCTGCCTCCCTGTGCCGCAGATACTCATAATCCCCCAACTTGCTGGGTAGGATGAACATTTCAGTCTAGACTGTAAAATGTTCTAGAACTTTGCTAGGTTTTTTTCCTCCTGTATTTGAGATTTCTTCTCATACTAAATTTTTGATTAAATTATTTTATTCGAAGATAGGGTATCTGGATAAGTGAGGAGAAAAGGGTGTACTGCTTTTTCTTTCTTCATGTCTAAATAGGAGCCTAAGGTCTTCATCTCCTGCCCAGCTTCTTCCCTTATCAATGTCTTTATTATTTTTTTCTTTCTTTCTGGAGTGACAATTTTTCATGTGTTCTCAGTTAATATTTCATCTTGCCAGATTCATCTTAAAGCAGTATTATTCTTTTAGTCCCTCTCCTTTGACAGAACAAGGACATGCAAGAGTATATACTAACCTGTGTATATTCACGTATGTACAAATATTTTTATGGAGCCATCTATATTTATATAAAGATAAACATAAGGTCATACTGATGTTTTGAATTCAATTCCAGTATACATGTATAGCAGTATTAGGTTTCTTAACCTGTACCCCTGTGGGAAATGACTTTATCAGTTGGAGTAGAGTACTTATGTACAGTTCCTTTCTCTTTTAGTTTTACAGATTCCATTCATTTCTGAAATTACTTAGGTCAGCACTTTTTCCTCCTGCCCCCTTCATTGGGGTTGTCTCATATATTTGTCATACAGTTAGATTAAATTCTCTTGCCATGATCTGCATTCTTTCCTAGGATCCCCCAACGTCTTAAATAATTAAAAAAAATTTGTATACATTAAGATTTACTGTTTGTGCTGTATATACGTTGTGACAAATGCATGTCATGTCTCCTCCATTACAGTATCATACAAAATAATTTCACTGCCCTATAAAATCTCCTATGCGTCACCTACTCAGCCCTTCCCCCCAGGCCCTTGGCAACCACTGATCTTTTTACTTAGCTCTGTAGATTTGCCTCTTCCAGAAGGTAACAAATTGGACCTCATGCATTATGTTTTTCACACTGACTTTTTTCATGTAGCAGTACATGCATGTAATATTCCCCCATGTGTTTTTCTGCCTTGATAGCTCATTTCACCTTATTGCTGGGGAATATTATCTTTCTTATTTATCTAGCTTTAACAGTGTTTATTATTTTTTACATGCTGGGTATTGCCTGTTAACTTTAATGGAATGAGTTAGCTTGGCAGAAGGGGCAGAAGGGAGTACATTGAATTGGAACTAGACTCATTGGAAAGAAATTCTACTAGGATGTGGAGTTTGGTATCTGAAAGTAGTAATTTTGAAGGTCATGAGGGTCAGAGAACATGGTATTTCAGTCAGGCATTTCAGGTGATATTTTAGTCAACATTTAGTCAACAGAAATATTTGATATTGTAATACAGGGCATTGTGGCTAATGTTCTTAGTTCAGGCATTCAGTGAGTACTAAGGCATCTGGTCCTAGTGCAATATTCTTTCTTTGGTGAGAGATCACTAAGAACAAGTCACGGAATTCAAAGAGGAACTCAGGTATTGATAAAAGAGAAATCCAATTTTTAAAATTGTTCTTACCAGTGTCAGAGTTATACTAACAACATATGTGATTTGATTACAAATCTTACTTTTGAACCAAAGCTTGTTAAATTCCTACTTAATTCTGTATTGTTGGACCAATTATAGGAATGGAAGTTTGATAGTAAGTAGAAAGATGGTATCTTCAAACTTGAGGAACTAGAGAAGTACTGAGAGGACCTGTCATGTATCCTGCTTATAATTAGTTCTTAGAAATTATTTTTAAAGATGATCTCCTCTAATTGGTTAAAATTGATAATAATAATTGCAACTGTAAAGCTTTTTGTTGAGATAAAATTTAAAGACAGCCACAATAACTGGTTTATTTAAAATATAAACTCTTAAGATTTAATTTAATTTTCTTCAACGTAATTCAACTCAATGATACAAATTTAGTTTTTAAGAACAAATGTTTTAAAAATAGTCACTGTAAATGTTCTCTTAATGTTTAAAATTTTTTTTTGTATGGTGTTAGCTTTCTGTTTGCATTTCTTAATTTTTTTCTTTTTATTTGTGTAGATTTGTCTTTTATTTTCAAATAATGGGTCTTTAAATTTGTCATTACTACCATTTTACTTATTATGTATTAATTTCTGTTTTAATATATTTTGTCCCTTGTTTTTTTTCTCTTAAATGATTGTTACTACTTACAACATATATAGAAAACAATATAATAAACACCTGTGTACTCACAACCCCACCCAAGTAATAAAATCTTGCATATAATTGAAGCCCACTGTGTCCTCAGCCCTCACCAGAAGTAAAGACTGTTATGAATTTATCAGTCCCATTCTTGCTTCTGTATTTTCAGAATAGACGTTTCTATAAAGAATGTATAGTTTTATTCTATACGTTTTCAGACTTTATATGTGTTGTGCTGTGCTTATCATTCTAAAACTTGATTTTTATTCTATAGTATGTTTTTGAGATTGTTCATACTGATCTATATAGGTAGATTCTTTTTAGCTGCTATGTAAGATCCCATTATATGAATGACTTAATTTATCTTTTTTTAGTGGGGAGTGAGGTTGTTTGTAATTTTCCGTTTATAGATGAGTACCATGATAGGCATTCTTGTATATGTCTCCTTATTAACATGTGAAAATGATTCTAGGGTATAGTCCAAGTAGAATTTTTTGGGTATAGTATATAGTGACAAATTGCTCTCTACAGTGGTTGTACCATTTTATACAAGTGTATGGAAGTGACCTTTGCTTCATGTATTTGGCAGCTTACATTTGTTTGTTCCTTTAAAAAATGTTTTGAGTCTACTGCATAGATCATTTATTTTTAGAAAGCTAACTCCATACGTATTTTAGAAAGCACTATTTTAGAAAGCTAATACCATACAGAAAAAATTTTTGAACAAGAAATATTTTTTGCTTGATATATTATTGTCTCCATACAATTATATAAATGTTATACCTTTATTATATATATTTATTATATCTGTATTATATTATCTTTATTATATATTTATTATGTTTATCTGTATTATATATGGATGCTTTTATTAAATGTCCTTGTTTTACCATTTCATACTCATCAGTATGGCAAAAATCAAAAAGTCTGATAAAACCAAGCATGGTCAAGATTTGAAGAAATAGGAATTCTGAGTTCTGCTGCTGAGTTATTAAATTGTGTATAGTAGTTTGGTGGTGTAAAGCTGAAAATGTCTACACTACAATCTAGTAATTACATTTTCAGGTGTGAACGCATATGCAAGAATATTTACTGCAGTTTATTTTCCAATAGTACAATATTTTAAATAGTGTAAATGCCTATAAGTAGTAGGATGGATTACACACTGGTAATTTATATACTGGGATGCTATAAAGCAGTTAAAATGAATAAGCTTATTCTACATTATCAACATAATTAGATCTCAAAAACATGTGAACACTATAGTACCATACTGATAAGAGTAAAATACACTTGGACAATATAATATAGTGCTTATGAATATGTATAACACATATAAATAAAAATGAGCTGAAATGAGACAAGTTAAATTTATAATAGTGTTTGCTTCTAAAGAGAGTGAAAGTAAAGGAAGCATTAACTGTAACTTAAATTTAACATCTGTAAATATACATAAACTCAGTGTAATGTTCCTGGAATTCTGGAAGTAGTGTCACTTTTTAGTCCTTGTCTCCTGGGATTATGGTTGATCATCTTAATTCTTTTTTGTACTATTGTATATTTTCCATTTTCTGCACAGTGAAACATGTTTATTACGAGCAGAAAGAAAACTTTCAAAAAACCCATCTGTCTTATTTCCCCTGTTTTTTTTTAGTGGGGGAAGTAGAGTGAATGGACACTTAAATTCCACTTTAGCTAGTATTTAAATTGTTCGG